ATTTGTGTGGAACTTAAGATTGAGGCCAAACTGGCCAATAAGTATTCCATATCATGCAGCGTCATGCCCAGTATAGAAGTGAGGGTCAGCGGAAAGAAGGGCTTTTGCCTTTCCGGGACTCTCACTTTCGGATTCTCAGAGTGCTTTCTCTCTCTCTCTCGCTCTCTATTTCGGGCTTCCTGTTCATCTGGGATTGCGGTATTGGGATTTATCTGTTTCGGGATTGCAGCTTTGGGACAAGACGGGCCTCGGTCAAGGGATGGTGAGCAATCACACCGTACATCACTTGTTCGTATATATTTATTCTTGTACATATCTGTATATATATATATTGATAGCAGTAGTAGTAAATTGTTCTTATCTCAACCCACAGGTCTCTTTTCTTTTTCTCCTTTAATTCTCTCCCTCATCCCTGGAGTGGGGGAGGGTGAGTGAGCGACTGTGTAGGGTTTGATTGCCGGAGCGGCCTAACCCACAACAGTCTGCATTCAGGACCTCAGTAACTTCAGTGATGCACGTTTCAGAGGTGCTTAAAATCTGTGTGAATTCGCAGCCTAATTCTCAGAGGCTGATAGTTTACTTTGCACATTTGTGGGGGTGGTTGTGTGCTCAAGACACATATTGGTGTCAATATCTTGAAATATGCCTTGTCCAGCTATCTCCTCCTGCCTCAATACTCACAATATATTCTGAAAATTGTATCAGGCATAGAATAAACACACAAATACACAATTGAATTGACAGAACGTTTAGTTTGATAGCCCTGAGAAAAGACGAAAAGAAAGCTGATGAGTCAGTAAGGAGGACACAAATCTTAGGAATTTAATGCATCCAGATAAGGGCATATAAGGATGGTGAAAAATACTTGCAAAAGCAGCTGAAGAAAGTTTGCTGCCAGACTGTCTTGATGTGTAAACCATCTCTCAGGCTGAATGGATCTGGGCTTCAGAGGGTAGATTTACCAAGGACCTTCTGTTTGTTGCCGTTGCCTTGTAGCCATTTTGAAATTCAGCTCGAGAGCATATGTCTTAAGAGCTAACTTGGTATGGGGGTATGTATGTATATTTTTGTGCATATTTTAAAGTATATATATGTAGAGAAAGGAAGAGATTCTAAAGAGGGAGCAAAAATAGAGCATCTGCAGGAAGAATTACATTTCCTCGTGCATCTGTCCTTTTTTTTTTTGTACCAATTAAAGTAGTCTTGAAAAAGAGAGGGTTTCTAAAGGCATTTGGAGAAATTTTGACTGACATTCATTTTTATAGTTGTATTTTTAAACTGACTTCCTTACTTAAGTACTTCTTTGTGAATGTAAGTAGAGAGAAGAGAATCTATTTTTCAGGCAAGTTGCCTTGACCAGGTCTTGGATGACCTTTCCACACCCACTGTGCAAAGCTCAGGATGTTCTGGCACATAACCAGAGATCTGGAAGGTTGTTAGGGAGTCTGCCTCTCCTGTTAAAAGCTACCAGGGAACCCCAGGCCATGGCTGAAATATTTGCATACCTTGTTCTTAAATAAAATTCCTTAGCTTCCCTACATGACTTGTTCCAGTGTTTAGCTGTCACTGTTGGTGGGTGTAGAAAGGAGCATTCTGCATTGGTTTTTGTCTTAGCTAGGCCTGTTCTTCAAGTCGTTGTCTCCTCATCACCCTCCATGGACATGGAGAGTCACTGAATGCCAGCTGTTTTCTACTGGTTTATGTTTGATTCACCTCTCTAGCTTCATTCTCCTCATTTCCTGAACTAAATAAACCAGATATTTTTGTGTGTGTGTGACACAGGTTGTCACAAAAGCTATGCTTTTAAAACCGTCCGACAGTTTTCTTCTTTTAAAACTTTCCAATTTGCTGATTTTTTTTCTTGAAGTGCAGTAAAACTGGATTCAGTGTCCAACAGCCAGGAATAAAGGAAAACAGTGAAGTCTTATGTCTTCTGCTAATATGTCCCAGAATTATATTTCTTTTCCTTTTGAAGTAATGGTGTTATTGTCCAAGTTTTAATCTCTCAGATTCTTGAGAGATGCTTAATGTTTTAGTGCTAATTTTCCATTTGTATTGCTGTCATGCTTTGAACATTTTTCCTGAGTTTCATCATTATTAGACCACCTCTAGACTAATTATGAAGATTATTGTAAATGACAGTTGTTACCTGCAAATGAGTTGCAACCTGTGCAAGTTCAGTGTCATCAGCCAATTTGAGAAACGTGGTTTTTTTTATTTCGCTATTCCAGTTGTTAAGGTTGAAATTCTGTGTCCCGAACTTAGTATACGTAGACCTCTGAAAGACTTCATTGGTCTATATTCTTCCAGTTTGACAGAAGAAAAAATAAATCATTGCTACTCTCTGAATAGCTTTTTCAGACCGTTATGCGGCCATATAATAGAAATTTCAGCAAGAGACTGTGTCCCTGATTTACTAGGGAACTTACTCCAGCTTCTGAAGGCTTACTCGGAAGCCATAAACTGAAGTGTATCAAAGCTACTTCTTTTTGCCTATCTGCATGCCCTTCAGCCTGACAGAGGGAGAAATGTGAGGTTTGGTATGATTCAATTTTCATTTCCTTATTATCCTACATTGTTTTGAAACGGGCTGTAATATTATTTTCTTATATTCAGTACGGACGTTTAACTTACCGACCTGTAATTCGCTTGGTACTCATTCTGCTTTTAAAAATGGGTGTTTGCTTGGGGATTATTGTTTTCAGAGACAGCTGATAATGCTGAAGAAAACTCACTCGTTATTTTAATCCACTCCAGAGCACTTAGCCCATCCCCCTCTTTTCATGCAGGTTGTGGCTTTCTTGAGTAACCAGGAGGTTTTACCTTCACAGCCTGTGGAGTGCCAAGCATAAGCGGGCCTTTTTCTGCTAACTCTTTTTATCATGCAGGTACCAGGTTTCTAAGAATGTGAAATGAAAACTGTCTTTCTCAATGTCTTGCTTGGAATTTTCAAGGTAGGATGTGTATCTCCATTAGCAGCTGGCACAGGACTTCTTCAAGATGAAGCCAAATTTGAAATTTTCTGTTTTGAAGTTGGATGGATTTTTCTGTGTGTATGTGTGCCCTTATCCGAAAACTGACAAAACTTGGCTCCATGTCAGTGCTGGGATGGGTGGGGTGAGAGGCTGAAAGGTGAGGAGAAAGACAGATGCCACCTTGCCACTAGCCTTCCTGAGGGACATTGTTATCTTTTGATCCCCTCTTCTCACCTTCTTCATTTTCCTTCCATATCTTCCTTTACATTTTTTATCCCAAATTTCTTGACTTATTGAAGCATCTCTTTCTTGAAGAGACCTTACCCCGTCCTCTTAGCATTCTCTTGCCTCCTTGTAGATGGGCGAGTTTTCCTGACTTCTTCCCCAAAATAGAGTGGAGGAGACTTTGTTTGTTACTTGTGACTGAAAACATCCCCAGCCAAATGCTGAGGGAATTATTCTGCTTGATGACTGAGAAGATCCCCAGCTAACGGCTGAATATTTCTAGGGTGAGAGATGTTGTTCTCTGGCTCTTTGTGACATTAGACAAATGTCTGCTCTTCTTCTGCTGTGATTTAATGTGAAAATGCAGTTCCTTTTACAAGAACTTCAACATTTTCCCATTTTAAATTTACTTTCAGTAACAGAATATGAAATGTTTTAGGAATTTAGACAAAAATATTTCCAGTTATTGTCTTCTCCATCTATTCACTTAATTATTTTTTGGCTTTTGACAGCATATGTGTATTGTTTTATTTTAACTAACGTTAAAAATTACTGTTGAAAACACTTGCTGAAGAATGAATTTTCTCTAACCATGTTATAGAAACATAGTACCAAACAAGATCCAACAAAATTTGTTATCTCCGCATGATTCTTGTTTAACATTTTGGTGCTGGTAATTAAATTATTGTTATGTATTGGAAAGAAGTTTTTTTTCTCCGTCTATCATCTGTGAGTGTGGCAGTTTACCTGATTCAATTCCATATTTTGCATAAGTCATTCCCATGTAATGGGCTGTGCCCTAGTTAGTCCATGAAGTTTAAAAAAAACCTCAAAACTAGTACTGAATTAGTATTGGACTTTTAAAAGATAATGCATGACTTCACTGTAGAAATGGGGTGTGCTACACATTTCAAATACTACTAGCAATGCTGATTTCTTCACAACTGCATAAGAACAGCTAATCTTCAGCAGAAACCATCATTGCTGGGCATTTCCAGCAAGAAAGGCATCATAACATTACTAAGAAGTGTTAAATATTAGTACAGACTGGGAAGGAAAGAAAATCCTGTGCCATTCCAGAAAATGAGAGTGAGACATCCTGAGAGCGTGATCATAACTTGTAGGCTGGTATGAGGAATAGCAAACTGCTAAGGGGTTGCCATTCAGCTGTGAAATCCTGCCGCGGAAAACTGCTTCACAGGGATGATTTTTCTTCCCGCCAGCGTAACCTACACTCTGTGAGTGGCTGTTCATAACAAAAATTTACATGTCGCCTTCCGGGTATGTGTTCACAGAGATATGAAGAATAAACATGAAGTTATGCATTGTGTATTGAAAAGCTGTAACAAGGAATTAGTTAATAAATAATATAGGAAATTAATTATTAACTGCCTTGTCTTACGTGTTTCTGATCTTTATCCGTCTGATACTTCAGAGGAACCTAGTTTATCTTTCATCTCCACTTATCTAGTCATGCTTTCTCTTTCATGTTCGCTCTTGCTTTGCTTTATCGTCATTGCTCATCAGTTTCTCCTGGTGTACGGTGTTTACATCCACTGACACGCAATCCTGAGCCCTATTTTAGCTAATGCACAAACACAGCATAGTTTCAACTTCATATGTAGCTAACTATTTCATCAGTGATGTGAGTTCGAAGGGGACAGCGTAGTAAGAAAGATGCCAGATGCTAACTTCAAAGACGTGATGTCGTTTTCTTCACTAACAGCAGTGATTCCAGATAAATTCCTAAATACCAATGATTTCAGGAGAGCTCATGAATTTTCCTGTACTGTTTTGCAGGGGATTTCCCAAGAAAACAGGCAGAACTGCTAGGATAGCATCAGATGAAGAGATTCAAGGGTCAAAAGATGCTGTAATTCAGGACTTGGAAAGAAAACTTCGCTTCAAGGAAGACCTTTTGAACAACGGGCAACCGGTAAAAAAACATACAATACCTTGGGGGACGGGAGTGGGCATCACGGGTAGTGTCTTAGATATGCTGCAAATAAAATAATTGCTGCAGATTAATTTCATATTTTGTGTATTTCTTATTTTTAATTGCATTTCCAAAGCTGCATTTCCATAAGGAATAATAGTGTACATTTTGGCTTATCGTTCCTTCTCCTATTGAACAACTTTACTTGGACTTTACAAAACAATGAAAGACTCAAAAATGATGAATTCACATAAGAAGCCTGCACAGTCTGTACTTCAAGGGCTTTTTCAGCCTCAGAGGCCATTTGCTTTTGACTGTTCATCACTGGGTGGCTGGCCAATTAGCATATGCATCGTTCTTCATCAGTCCAGGCTCATTCTACCTTTTGCCCAGTTGCTGGACAACAGGGGGAAAGAGTAGGTGGTAAGTGGACATCAGAGTGGAACAAGGTAGTTCATCATGAGAAACAAACCATTAGGAATCAGGCATCTTTAGATCCTGCAGTTGTGGGACTTTTTTGACCAATAGAATAAAAAATAACCTATAGTACTGACTTACAGACTTTATCAGCAGTTAATGACCCACTTGAGGAGTCAAGAAATGAGGTAAAATGGGTGTAGCAAACATCTGAAATGACAGCTGCAAAGTTCTCTGTTAAGTTTTGTGCATTTTAAGATAGGCGTAAAAGATAAAATACCAAATTCTTCCTGCTCAGAGTTCATGAGAAGCAACAATCCTAAGACTTGATTACAGTTATTAAGTCATTGATTTAAATGTCTTTGGAGCAAACATCTCTTTTAAGAGGAACACAACTTTTAAAATGTAGACCGTCACCCCTGTTTTGTCAATGAAGTGTTTCCAAAAGCATCTTGAATGCCTTGGGATACCTTCGTGTCACTGAAAGATAGGGTGCCTTAGGTTTCTCAGGACCACGCTCAGAAGTTTGCTACCATGTCTGAGATGTGGACTATGGGGTTGTAGTTCAAGACAGCCTGTTGAGGTAGACTCTCTAGTCCACAGCTGCCAGATTCTGGTTCTTAATAAGGTCAATGGAGTGAAGCAGGGAAAATGTTCGGAGCGATTATTGCTTCTGTACTTACCGTTCTCCATTGACTGCGTAGGGTTTGGCAGTTTTCTGTAGCAGTTAAGCAGAATCACTCTCATGGTGCATAAGTTCCTGTTTTTTTCAAAGGAGGTGGGCTGAGCACCACTGTCAATGCCTATTTTGGAAAGTGAGAGAGATGTTTGGTCTGGACAAATGAATGGAATGTCCTGAGAAAGCCCACATGGCCCAAGGAGGGGGGAAAAAAAAACCAACAAACTGTGATCAGATGATGTGGGAGCTTGAACCAAGGAAACTGGTTTTGTGCTTGCCTTGAGGCTTTTGCCTTGCAGATTCCTGTCTTGGGTGATTCTGTTTGTGTCATCATGGCTGTGGGCACTTGAAGTAATTACTGAAGAAACTAAAGTGAAGAAAAGTTCATGAATTTCGTAGACATTTGTAACCAAGCCAACATTGGTACCTAGTTTTCATAACTTTCAGCCTGCTGGTTTATCTACAATATGACATCTTTTAAAAATTAATTTAAATGAGCTTTTTTTAAAAATGGAAGCATTGAGTACATGTAAGGTTTTACAATTTCCATTCTTTTTTCATTTTTCTGTCTAAATGTGGCATTTCATCATGTAATGAGTTTGCCTTTCACTCACTGGCATTTTGATTCAATGTTGATTTTTAAGAAAGTTTTTAAGTGCCCGAAAAGTTTTATTGAATGTAGAAGGAAAGATAATAGTGAAATAATTGAATTGGACACTTAAGGTTTTCTTTTAACTTGCTTTACCTTCTGAGTGTAAATTGCCTTTTATAAGCTGTCTCCTTAATTTACAAAAAAGTAAGAAGAAATAGAAATGAAAAAGCCTTATAGAATATATTTTTCCATAAAGCTGTCATATTTTTGACAAAATAATCAAGTAGAATAGTATCTCCTTTAGCTTTGGCAGAGTTTTCTGTCATGCGGTTCTAATGTAAAAATTGAGCAGAACAACTAGGAGTAAGATTTGGGATGATTTGACATGCACTTTTTTGATGGCCATGCTGGTTTAAGCAGTTCCTATTCCTCATTCCTGCCCAAGCTTCTGGCAAGAGGATGGAAACAAATGGCAGAGTCAGGGCAAGGGTTGCTTAAGCCAGAAGAACCACTTGTAATGCAAAAAAAATGCATTACAAACTGCAGTAGAAAATTTCTGTTAGAAACGTATTGCTGCTTCCTTTTATTAACATGACCTAAAACATTGCTTACTGTCTAACTGCTTTGTAGTTCCTAATGAGAAAAAAGAACTTTTCTCTCTTCTTTTCCCTCTCCCTCACCCCCTTTTTATTTTTTGTTCAGAGACTAACGTACGAGGAAAAAATGGCTCGTCGATTGCTGGGAGCAGACAGTGCTGCAACTGTCTTCAATATACAGGAACCAGAAGAGGAGCCTGCTATACAGGTGACACATAACTCTACAACTTCATAGGAAAATAAAAAATTCCTTTCAATTTTTCTTTTTACAAGCTGTGATTGTCTTAAAAAAAAATATAGAGTCCTACATAAGATAGTAAATATACACAAGATAGGACACTTTTCATTGCAGAAGTCATATGTTATATATCAGTGAGGTAAACTGGAGGATCACATGCCTGTTGCTCACTTTTTCCATAGTTGAGAGTTCTCAAATGTCTGTTCTCTGCTTTAAACTCCTCCGTTTATCCTATTCTGTCCTGACCTTTAAGTCTCTCAAGGCAAAAATACCCCTACTATCTTGAAACCATATTCTCTTTATTTGTGTAATCTGCACTTTTTGGACGCAGACCAAAAACACCACAGAAAGTCGGCCTGAAAGGCCAGGTACACGTTCCCCATTGCTCAGATGCCAGAGTTGCTGTTCGGAAATGCGTAGCGTTCCTTTGCTTATGTTACCACATAAAGTACGTTCTCCGTATAAAAACTCTGAGAAACTGTTGTGGCTGCCTCTTGGTCTTCTTTCTGCCTCTTGATCTTTTTTTCTACCCTTGCAGGGAGCTCGCTCTGTTGGTGCTTCTGTAGTGAGTCCTGTGGATATTCAAAAGGTTAACGTTTTCACCTTCTTCTGTCTTGCTTTTTTGTCCATTTGTGTGGTGGGTTTTTTTCTCTATTGCCTTTGCCCTTTCCCTCTACTGTTCTTGGTTAATAACAAGAGGTCAGCTAGCATTAATAACTGGGGAGATTTGGGCTGCACTCCCTTCAGAGTGTTAAACTTGTTCCATAAGCCTAAATGTCTGCGTGCAGGCAGCTTAACCACAGCAACGGCATGCTCCGGTATCTTTCTGCCGTAACGTTAACATACACTGGTACTAACTGCCTTGCATCCAAACCAGCTGCTCTGAACATTTACCACGTCTACTTCATGGTTTACTTTTGTGGTAAACTTTCTGGGAACAAAGAAATTTAAAAAAAAAAATAATCTGCCGTTAACAACGGTATTTCTCTCTTCCATTTTTTACCATTATTAAGCATTTTGATTATTTCTGCCACAGTCAGTAGAAAGGCTACGTGTCATGCCTGTACCAGAGGCAATGAAAGAGGACAGGTATGTGAAAGGCGGCTTTGTATGAGACGTGAATTCTATCTTAAATAAAATGAGGGTCAGAGTCAATAGCCAAAGGTCATTTGAAAGAGTGCCTGAATTTCCGCTGGCTGAGAAGAGTGTTGGCTGATCAAGATTCTTTTTTTTCTGCTTCTGAGCTTTCTTACCTTCTGACATGATCTTTGTTGTCAGTAAGATTCAAAGCAGGGCTTTCATACTGCAAAGAAGATGAGTGAACTAAGTAACTGTGTATGTCATGGTAACACCCCCTAGTATCTGAACAGCACATTTGAATAAGCAGTAGTATTTTACACTGGGTGAAACTTCCCACTCTTCTTTCTATACCTTGAATACCCTTATGATAAATGTTGTTGTGGAAGAAGTGAAACTTTTGGCCAGACAAAGGGGACCACGGCAACAGGAGTAAAGGGAGGCAGTTATCATGGACTGCCAGTGTTGCTGTTTTCTTTTTTTTTTTTGTCAGTTTTACAGGCAACTGTAAACACAATCATTTTAGCCTTCTGGTGCAGCCTCCAGTACAGTTCTATGCAAATAGCAGATGGGAGCCATATGGTCTTCTGGCCATCTGGAAGCAAAACCCACCCTAAATCTGTCTGTACCCTCAAGGAAATATTAGTGTGTTTCTTTTGTCTTTATGAACTACTTCAGAATACTTTTATTCTTATAGGCTTTTTTAAAAAATGGAAAGAAAGCAACCAATGACTTTCCTTCCCCTTATAAATTAGACCTTAAGATAACATGAAATACAATTTTTGTCTCATACCAGATGTCTTCATTGTTTCATAGGAAAGTTATTAGAGACAGGGATTATAGTGTTTTTCTTCAACAAGATACAGTTTCCTTTTGTATGTAAAACCTTAATGGACTGTCAAAGATCAGTAGAATAAAAAAAAACCAAAACAACAAAAAAACCCACATTAGGAACACATCTTGCTGAGCAATGTGTTGAAGCTGGACACTAATATGTACCTTTCTTGTTTGACAGGAGTATAAAGTCTCCAGCTTTGAGCAAAGATTGATCAGTGAAATTGAATACAGGCTGGAGAGATCTCCTGTGGAAGAATCAGATGATGAGGTGCAACATGGAGATGAACCTATTGATAACAGTATGTCACCATATTTTGAGATAAAGCTGAAGCATTACAAAATCTTTGAGGGAATGCCAGTCACATTTACATGCAAAGTGACAGGAAATCCAAAGCCAAAGGTAAGAAAAGAGGGTAAATGTTTCTAGAAATGCTCTTCAGAGTTCTGTATGGGACCCTATGGGGCTGTATCTTACAGAAACAGCAGATTTTCTCTCTTGACAAGAAAGACTCCTAGCTGGTATAAACTGTCAAATCTCTTTTGGCATCACTGGAGTTCTTTAAATTTATACTAGGCAAAAATCCCTACTATGAGGCTTCGGCTCTTAGTTACTCCCTCCTGAGACATCATCTCAATTATTTTACCCAGAAGTCACTTCCGTCACTTTCAGCGTTACCTTCAGGGTACATCTGCACCACAGAATGCACTGCAATGCTGGAAAACCCCATGTGAGCTGGCACAGTAGTCCCAAAAGCAACCCCATCAGGTTAACATCGGCAATTAGCTCAGGCACAGCAACATCCTTACGCAAAAGCATGCTGCTTCTGGGTCAGCAGCCAGTGTGGGATCTCTGCATTTTTCAGCGTTGCAGAGTTGTTTATATCTACACACCCTAACAAGACTAAATTCCATTGAAAGTTAGAGGAAGGCATAATAAAATACCATAAGCTCCCATATATCCCAACAGCAAGATGAGACATGATGGTAAGGTTTTAATGATGAGCTTCTGAGGGAGGGTTGGGCTTGGGAAGCATTTCCTTTTAGCAAATGTAAAAGTACCAGTTGCGTGATGTCAGGAGCCTGGAAGAATGCCTTCCTTTGGTAGGTTGTATTTAACCATTTCAAAAATTGCTTGGCAATCAACTGACTCATTATGCAGCAGGCAAACAGCAGTAGCTTCTTCAACTTCCTTGCCAAAGCCAGTATCTTCCTCGTGAGGTCCCTGCAGCTCTTACAGTGACCTCTTGTGGATAGGGGCTCTTTTCTTCTTAGACAGATCAAAGATGCCTTATCTCTTATCTAAGATCTTCACAGCAGCAGCAGCAGCAGCCACATCCAAATCTTTCATCTAGTGTAAGTTTTACAGGTATTTAGGATTTTGAACAGAGGTAAATGCAAATGGCTTTCCGTGTCCGGTTATACAGGTGTTTGATACTGCACAAACTGTAAAAAGAAAAATAGACTTTGTCAGGTAGCAGAGAAAGGACAACAGAGAACTAGGGCTACGTCTGCATTAACAAGTAGTGCAGACTAGAAGAAATGAAGCTGTAGAATGAGATATCCATCTCTGCATGCATTTCAGGAGGTTTTACTTCAGGCTAGCTCTAATCTCGTCCCACAGACTGAAGCAGATGCAGCACATTAGATGTGTTCCTGGAGCACGTTTTCTGGCTTAGTTTCATCTGAAAGGAATCCAATTCTGTGCTCCAAGACCACAACACCATGTGAACCTCTGCAAAGTAAGTGGGGCTGATCAGTACAGTCATATCAAAAAAGCACTCCTGCTTCAAACTGAAGACACACACTGAGAAGATTAGCCCAGTCTGACTAAAACCAAACATCTGATGTCCAGCATTACTTTTGAGATGTCTGTACAGGAGAGTCCGTTGTGCTGAAAAAGAGTGGAAGACAAATGCATTCGGTGTTAGAGGTGCAGTGTGTTGGAGAGGTATTCTTTTTGCCTGAGGCTTATGACTAAGTTGCTGGATGACCTATTATGAGTCAGCCTTAGTCAACTTAGCCATTCCCTAATTTTCACAGTTTTCAATTAAGGTGTAGTTTCACAGTCATCTTAATCTGATTTAGGACAGATGAAAGAGGATGTCTCCTTTCCTTCACTCTCCTTGTTTTGGAGTTATGGATTGCACAGCCAAGAAACCACGTTGTTAGTACTTCTCCTGAAGCACGGCATTATAAAGGAGCATCTGAAGTGAATGCACTCTGATTCGGATACAGCGTTGAGTTCTTCTGCAGCGCCAGAGCATGCACATTAAGACGTGATTTGCTCTTGCACCTGGGACTATGACCCTTTATTCCATTCGCTTGCAGATGCTTTGTGCAATTCGTTAAGTTGCTTGGGATGGAACCAATTTCAGTCCTGTTGGATGGCTACTTGTTAGCTGGGCTTCGCAAATGTCAAAGGCTGCCTCTTCCCCTCATCTGCTGGAGCATGCCAAGAGAGCAATTTCGAAATGCTCGACGGCTGGGGGCTGCCATTCTGCTGTCATTTGTTGAAGCTGGAAGTGTTGCCCCTGAATAAATTCTTTACTTTGGCAAATGAAAAGCTGGAAATAATTTACTAACGTGAAGCTCCTCCCTTCTAAGTATTCTGTCAGCTCTGCCAAGGAACGGCTTTGGGAAGGACTGTAGTGTTTCTAAAATCTGGCATTCATTACAAGGGATTTTTCCAAGCGGGGTTATTGGCTTGATTATTTTTTCCCCTGAACATGCCATGTAAATTGAATACTGATGTGCAAATTCTGTCTTGATAAATATGACTTTTTAAATCTGAGTCTAGTTTTGTTATAACCTTCAGTGTAACGTAAAACTATTTTCTCATTAAAATGAGAACCTCTGGTGATACAGGAGGGATTGTGGAATACTTCTTTTTAAGCGATATTTCTCTTCAGAATTAGGACACCACCACATGAAAGGTTAATTGAGACTTGAATGTTGCATAAAGCTTGTATGGCTCGCCCTTCACATGGCCAGATATAATTCTTAGTGATTAAAAATGCCTGTGCTGCCCAAGATCAAAACCCCTTTTGTACTGTGCACTCCATTGTATTTCTAGTCATTACACATTGGTTTCTGAAAATCTGGTGCAAATAAAAGCAATCCAGATGCAGTGTTCAGTGCTTACGTAGTTTAATGGTACATTTATTAAAAGGTATCCTAGAAAGAAAATACTGCAAGGGCCATTGTCTGCAGCAGTGGTAGTGGTTTACTTACTAACTCCATGTCAGATAAAGGTAATATTAAGAATTTACTACGCACAAGTAAAACCCAGTGATGCCAATGCTTTTAAACTTAGTTGAAATAAGTATTTGACAACATATGCATGGTGTTTGGATAGCTCGTTCAGTTAATATTTGCATGTACTTCCATGTAATAATTCCTGGCATGTCTCCTGATATTTCTGGTAAGTGCATTGTTATTAAATAATTACTACTTAATGCAGCAGATTTCCAAGCAACGTTATGACACATGTAAAGCATGCAAGTTAAAACTCATTTTTTGCAGCTACGTTGTTAGCAGCCTCCATTAGCATGTGTATATAAGTGATCAAATATCTTTTGCATCTCCAGTAAGTGCTCTGTCAGCAGATGAGAAGACATGACTAAATCTTTTGTTAGCACCACAGAGTCTCTGCAAGGCTGCTGACAGACAAAATGGGAAACAAGTATAACCAGCCATTGAGGAAATGAAATCATTTCTAGTTACACATAATGCTTGTTAATATAAAAACCATGCATGGTAATTAATTTTTAAGGAAAATTTCTACTCATTCCTTCCAAAACATTCTCCATTGTCTTTTTGTGAATTTTCAAAGTATATCCCTAACTTTTCCCTCCCAAGTGAATGAATTTAGAGCTTTGAAATGTTGGCACGTATTAAGCACCTGGCATATTAAACTCCGTAAGGAATTGTACTTTCCTTTGTCACTTCATTTTTACTGGAAATCCGGCACCCTTTCCTCACTGTAAGACTTAAATTCCCACTTCGAGAATTAGACTGAGGAAAATGTGTGTGTTTTCCTCATGCTAAATAGTCCCAGCAGTCATGTGACCAGGACAAACACATTTCTTCTACTTTGTACGAGTTAACCTCGTGAAAATTGTGGGGGCATCTGCACGAGTGACTTAAGAAATGCTGAATGCCACTGGCCTTATGCAGTAATACACACTTCAGAAATGACAAGCAAATAATGTTCTACTAAAATACTGGTTTGGGGAGCTGACTACAGCCTTCCTAGTATAAATTTTTTCATGTATTCCTCTGTGTGTTTTCATGCATACACCATGTTTTCCTCTTGATTCCAGCAGATTTCAGTTTAAGGTTTTATATTATTTTTAAAATAGAGAAAAAAAAAAAAAAAACAAAGCTAGGTCAAAATATTTGATTTTTTTTCGCCTCAAGTTTGAGGCATTAAAAACACATACATGTTTTTTGTGTAATTTATGGATTACTGTAAGATATTATTCTGCATACATCATTTTTTTGGCTGACTGAAAGTAGAACTTGGGTCAGCCAGAGAATAAAATTATGTATCAAAAGTAATGGAAAAGACCTCTGTTTGATTGGTAATGTAACTGTTCTGTACAGCTTGGAACTGCACGGGTGATGGCGCACAATTAGCGAAGGCTGTCTATGTGCTGGCTCGCTTTGAAGTATTTCCTCTTCCTTCGTGAAGCTGTCCGTTTCTGCAGATGTCTGTCACGTCGGGGTGACACTGTTGGTTTCAGTCAGGCCGTTATACGGAGCTGGCCTGTTCGATTACCAAACAGCTCGTTGCCAGCACGAGCGGCTGAATCCCCTTCTGGCTTTTTGGTCCAGTCCAGTCAGTGTATTGGATATGAGACAAAACTGGTGTTTCAACAGTGAGATCATTACTTCTATTTTATTCATCATTGAATTAAGGATTCCTATGATTGCCTTATATTTTTATTTTCTGAAAAAAGAGCAATAGCATTCTTAAGTTTTTTCTGCAACTTCTTCAGATTTAAGTGAAGTAAAAACTTAAAATTACTAATCTTCTCTAAAATAGAACTTTTCTTTGTAAGGAAATTTATTGTCAGTTCTGGAAATGTTCAGCTGCTGTTCTGTCCTTGGGATGGGTACAGCCCTTAAGTACCTGTAAATTTCTTCAGTAGATGTTTATGCTCCCGTCTTTCTCTTTGAAGGACTGCTAATCTGTGAGTTGTCTTTTAGTGAAAGTGGTTCATCGAGTGTGGTTCGGCACTTTTACTAGTTGATCAAACCGGTTTTCTTTTAGCGCTTACCAGAGAAGTTTTCAGCAGCTGAGATGCGTTAGTGCTATCGATTGAGAAATGATGACAATAAACACCCACCTCTTCTCCACCCGTGCCTTGTTTTTCCCTGCAGATTTATTGGTTTAAAGATGGGAAGCAAATTTCTAAACGAAATGATCACTACCGAATTCAAAGAGAACCTGATGGAACTTGCTCACTGCATACTGCCGCCTCCACCCTGGATGATGATGGGAATTACACTATTATGGCTGCTAACCCACAGGTAAATGAAGGTTTGGCTCCAGAGCAAACATGCTTCTGGACATAAATCTTCAGAAAAATATCATCTCATCTTACGTATGCATGATTTAATTAAATGATGAAGTCACCATAAAGTATGTAAGTTAGATTTCTGTTTTCATCTTGCATCAATAGGGTGGGACCTTTCTATCTCCAAGAGATTAGCAACTCAACAGCAGTTTTTTTCCTATGGTTTGAGGTTTCAGAGGGGAGGGAGTGTTGTTTTTCAATCAGCCTTCCACCATTTGTTTCAGCTGATAACATCTCAGTATCCTGAGCATGGATAGCATACATACTCTAAAGGGAGAAAAAAATCCAGTTTACCAACAGAAGTAACCCAATCCAGCGATTTCATTTTTCTCCCGTTGACACTACTCACTGACTGAGGCCAACTTTTTGAAATGAGTAGGAGTATATCACACCTCAACACGTTTGCAGTAGGCAGTGATTGCAGTTCTGTAAGGCAAAAAATTCTAGCACTTACTTTGTAGGCAAGAGGGCTCCTGTGTCGATCCCAAAGTCTTAAACAGTGTTTTTTTGAAACACAGTGTGTTACTGGTATTGTGATATTATTTGTTCTTCACAGGGCCAATACGAGAGCTGAGGCACACAGCAGAAACCCGCTGGTGCGTTGGACTTAGCTAAACTTACAGTTCACGCACCCGACTGAAGTAACTTTTTCAGCCCGCTTTTTCTACAGCATAGCAGATCGAGGGGAAAGATTTGCACGTGAGAAACCAAGGCAGTAACATAACTTCAGGGATGTAACGAATTATTTTCTTCTGTAGCACCAAATATCTTGCCAAGACCAAGGCTGCAAGTAGAATCACACTGTAAAATAACAAACTGTATCACTGAGACCGAGTTTAATCTAAGCAGGAGTGTTGTGCTCTGTTGTGAATGTTGCTAGGTTACTTAGCATGACACTGCCATTTTTGCCTTGCTCTTTGTCAGTCCTGCTCATATTGCAGCGTGCTTGGGAATGTATGGGATTGGACACACAGCCAACACACGAGTAGCAGTTTTAGGCTAGATTTTACAAATTGCACTGCTTAAATCTAGACAGTTTAAACATTATTTCTGCATATACAGATAACAGAAAAAAAGAAATAAAAAAGAAATAGCATCAGGCTAAGGACATTCTTCAAGATGAGAAAGTTTATACATAGATAACCATTGTGTTATAACACTTGGTACCGTTTAAATTGTGGAAATTCACAGCAGGTTTAAAAATGATAAATACATACATACATGCTCAAGGCAGGAAGCAAATCCTGTTCATCTTCCTGTCAGTGTTGTGTTAGTGCATGTACAGAGTTTCCCTATGTAGTGTTACTACTGCATGATCCAAAATCTTAGAGCCTTTGTGTCTGGGCACCATACCCTGCCCCTGAATATTCAGAGCCTACTTTTTAGCATTTGTTATTCTGGATAATGCTCATCGACGACACAGCAGTGCCCCAGGTTATCAGCTCTGGTCATTGATGACACTGGTTCATTAGTGGGTTTTTAGATGCACTAAAATGAGCTGGTTTTGTATTGTTTCTAGTTCAGGGATTGAAAAAGCAGTTTTAGTAAATGATAAAATTCTATGTCTGTGCTTTTTCCTTCTCTTTGGAGAAGAACCAGAAGCATCCTCCTCTGGCTCCCCTAAACAAAACATCTGTTTCACCAGGCCCATTCTATTCTTTCTTCCCAGTGTAATTCCCAAGCAAACCTACTTATCTCTTCCACTATTTGCTTGCTTTTACTATGCGTTTAACAGTACAATGGAGGCAAAGAAGGGCTATGAGTTAATGTACTAGCCCTTCACACTCAAAGATCTGGATTCCAATTCTTTTAAATCATCCTGAGTGGAAATAATTTTGGCATAGCCTCCTCAATTCTAATGGAAAGTTGTCCACATCTCAAAGCTATCACAAACTCAGGCAAATCTGGCAACCTTTCCTTAAGAAAAGCGAAAAAACGTAAATACAAGGGAGCCTCCATCACAATTCTGATGGACTGGTGGATATTTGCTAGGCTGTTGCTGTGTTTTGCTCATTGCTATTGGAACCAGCAAGCTACAAAGCAAAAAGGCATCATCTTAGTTGATAGAAATTGATGTTAGTAGAGCAAAGGATTCAGTTCATTAAAGCTCTGCCAGTTTATGACGTCTAACGATGTGGATTAATATTACAGGATTTATGTATGTCAAGAGATTTGTTGACACACCTCGGAAATGGTCTGCGGTAGTTAACACAGCACCATTGCCTGCCATGCAAAGCACAACATGCTGGAACTGAGGTTCTAAGGCACCTCTGGGCTTTGCAGTAAAATTTGCCACATAACTTAATCCAGAGCACACTCACCCCAGGCCCAGACAAACACAAACCCATGCCAGTGTCAGGGCTTTAGTTACAGGTTACGTCCCTTAACTGAGCTCTTTCCATCAGTTGTATGAGCTCAAGTCGAGCCCTTACCTTCACCTCCTTTCCTTTTATCCCAGTCTCTGCACTTCTTTGCACTATGCACCCACAGTCCTCAGTCTGGATTTCCCTTATTTTCTACAACATCTTCTCATTAATTACTTCCCCCTCATCACTTCTTTCCCATTCATCCCATTACTTTTCCAAATCTTTGGCTTTCTGCCTGTTCTTCCCTACCCAACTTCCTTAGTAGCCACTGTGTTTCCATTTGTGATACCTTCATGTATTAAGATAGGCAGAAATTATCCCAAAATGTGTGAACTACTCACCTGCCAGAAAAAGATTATTATGCAGTGGCACCTAAAAGAGAAATTTATTTGTTCCAGATGTTTTTAATGGTCTTGTAACACAAAACCAAGTTTTTGCCTAAGAAATTGCTGCAGGTCATGCACAATGGCTTATTTTAACGCAAGTATTTTTCTTGTCTGGTAAACGGGTCATGGGAATACAAGTGGGACACAGAGACTTCGTTTCTAACAGTCCAGCAGTAACATGAAGGTCATTGCCATTTGAAGGCTGCATGTGACCCCAGTGAAATTGTTTTTCAATGGGCTTTGGCCAGTTGTTAATGAACAGCTATTTGCAACCCTCGAATTACTGTGACAAAAATATTTGTCACTTTTATGATGGCAGACTTGAGTGTGGAGCTCACAGCTTAGAACCAAAATACACTGCAAAGCTAATGTGGATGTTGCCTTACTGCTACCAGTCCAGGGGGCAGGGACAGATGTACATCTCCTATACGTTTATCAAAAGAGCTATTTAAAACTACCATTTTTGAAAAGTTATTAAAATCATTACTGTTATATCGAAGTATACGAGCTTTTACTACAGTATTATTTTATACATAGCTTTTATATTTGTATCTATTGTGTACATTTATTAATACCAGCAGAGGCTTTTACCCCTTACACGGGGAATTCCACAGAGCCCTGGATGTCAGCAGTTGCAGTTCTGGCTTCAGGCATTCTCATCCCAGATTTGTTACCACTGGTACTTGTGGTGGACAATCTGTCTTGTAAAAAAAAAAAAAAAAAGAAAAAAAAGTAAAACAAAGAAGGGGATGAAATACAACACAGCCCATGTTTTGTTTATCATTCACTGAATGATCTATCTCCAACGTCCACCAGTGCAGTTGTGTATTTCAGTGTGCTTCCTACTCCCAATCCAGGCTCACTCTTCAGAGAGGACCCTTTATGTATTAGTACAGTTCATTTGGTTTTTACATTTGTGGGGTTTTTCTTTTTGAGCTGTGGCCCCACCAGATCAATCCGCTCTGGGGGCAGCAGCTCTGTGCCACCAAGTGCCACTTTCAAGATCTTGAACTAATTGTCTCGTCTTTTTGTCCACTTGCCATGCACAGAGAAACCTCCCACCCGCATCAATAACGTAGTTGATAGACTGTTTCAAGGACTTAATTGCCAGGGCTACTAACAATCTTTTTTTAGAAGAAAATCTTCCAGGCAGAACATTTTAACCATAACTGTGTTCTAGTCACCATTATTCCTGTCTATTCTGTGTTAGATTGGAAGCTGATAAAATAGTTCAATATCAGAAGGTTTTGACAAATGTTTTTCAATGCCTTTGTGAAAGAAGAGATTGTATTACAGACTCTGTAACAGGAGGGCAAAAAAATAGAAGAGATCATGTTGAACATTCATTAATATTACATGTATTACATGCTTTAAATCTTCTAATGTTCCTCCTCTCCATCGTCATAACAGGGCAGAATAAGTTGCACGGGCAGGCTGATGGTTCAAGCTGTAAATCAAAGAGGCCGCAGTCCTTGGTCACCTTCTGGTCAGCCTCATATAAGAAGGTACTTGATGCTTTTTTTTTTTCTTTCTTTTAGTAATATGTGTTTTGCAAAATTATTATGGTAAGATAAAGAATGTGAAGTAAGAAGTTAAAAGCATGGCATTCAGGAAGAAACAGGACCTCTGCTGTCTAAAAATTTCTGCAAAGCTTGCATACTCTGAAGTATAAGCAACCTCTGAAATGATATTACTTTTAAGTATCTTTAATTTTGCCTGCCTCCTCCTCCTTTCTTTGTGATATTCACTAATTACTCCTGATCTCAAATTACACTATCAGCTGTTGGGAAGGACCCTGTCACTTAAATTTTTTAAAACATCTCACTTGACTAGGGCTCTACCAGGAACCTGTACTTTCTGCAGCTTTTGTTAAGTATTCCTTTAAAGAAACAGCAGAAATAACTGCATGCCGAAGAAGTTTATCAGATTTACATTAGAAATATTTTAGTATTTCAGTGATTTCAGTTCAGGTTCTTATAAGGAATTATGAGTCAGAAATAAAGTATTAAACTTATCTTTGGTGAGTTTACAATTATTCACATATGAAGCTTTGGTTTATGTTGTTGGACCATATAAGGGAATTTTCCCTGCAAATACTTTTTTTTTTCATTACCCAGAGCATTTATGAGGCTACTTAGCAAGGCTTAGACAGCTTTAGATGACACACAAAAAAAAATCGTTTTGGTTACCCAAAGAGAACTGTTTTCCAGGGAGCATGAGGGCTTCGGTTCCGGTTTCTGTGAGGCACGTGTTTTGCTTCATGGTCACAATGGCCACAGAATCTCAGTACTGTCCAATCGTAATCTACAGAATAGATGGAATTACATAGCCAATGTGCAATAAAGAAATTATTCTTGTAACAACTGGCAGTGGTAGTAGTATGTACTGTAGAACTGCTGCGTGCAGAACAGGCTCCCTTTCTTCTCTGGTAACTAGAAAGTATTAGGACATGACGTTAGTTCTTTAAAAGATCTTACTGGTCTTATTCTTGCATGGAACAAATTTGGCTTCCTGCAGTCCTGAAAGCATTTCCCACCATCTCTCACTGAGGCGTCCTACCAACTTGCCCTCTGTTTTGAGAACAGCCCAAAAATGCTGGATCTGCTTGGTGTAGCCTGTCCAGTAAATAAGACACTTGACACCTACAAATAATGGGCAAAACCAAAGAGTCTCTGTTAATCCCTGCAGGGAAAAGCTGCCATGAAGAGTCAGGTTTCAACTGAATTAGTCCGTGCGCACAGGGTGAGAAACGGGAAACATCTTTAAAAATGGGGATGGGAGAAAGGAAGATGCACTTGGGTAAGAGCAGTGAGCAGCTGACACCTCTGCATCCTTCTGAAGGATGAAATGTGGGTCCTTCTGCGACAGGCAGAACCCTTGGGTAATAACGGGGGACGCTCGTTTTTCAATTTCTCCATGCGCAATCCAAATCTGAGGCTGGTTATGGCTGATGTTTTATTTTCTAATTGAGACAAGCACTCAGGCAGCCACCATTGTTTTGGTTGGGTGTCCAGTAGAGTAATGAATTATAAATAAGAGATTTCCATATAGCAGTCCAATTAGAATTAGGGCAATTGTTGGGGATTCTTATTTCCTGTAAAATTATCACACGTGAAGGGCCCATCCTCTTATCTTTCCTTACGGAGAGTCTGTTTCTGCTAAGCATTCAGCACAATACTATTGCTGTTCAGTGACATTTCCCACTACTCACATCATCCAGTTTTCCCTGAGACTGATCAAATGGGAGCATGTAAAGCCTTCCTAAGACAGACTCCCATCGCTGGCTTTGCTAATGTAACATCCCACCATACTGTACCCCTCCATATACTACAGTATTTGTCACGTACATTGCTGTTTACTTTTGATAAGTAATACTGCTGCGGCATTGCAGTATTATTTCTATAAGCTTTTCTTATAGAAATAAGCAACAAAGCCTTTTTTTTTTTCCCCCAAGTGTAATTATTAGCTTAATGAACTTTGACTTGTTACACTGTTGACAGGCTTTTTCCTGAAGTATTTTTAATCTCTTACAGTATGTGTTGTGGTAGAACTGTTTTTTGTCATCTTCATTACGTTACAGCTATTTTAAAACACTCTTTGTAGTCGTTATTTCATTTTTAGTATATTTTTCTGGAATTTGCTTAGCTTGCAAACATTACCTCTTAGCATTACTTTGGGGGAGGGAACTTTTGAATTGTCTGATGTGTACAAAGCTTGGGCACAATCCGACATCGTGCTCAACGTTGTTCACACCTAAGATGTCTTGCAGTGCACTACAGCCAGAGCCCCAAATAAATCATCATAAAATGCATGAGATTTAAGGAAGATTTTAAAAATAAATATTCCTATTGCCCCTGCCCTCAATTACAGGATTAATTTTATCATCTCCTTTATCCCAAATTAGTGGTCATTATCATATGGTCAGTCATAAAGCCTTGCCCAGCTTCTTGCTCACTGAAATTCCTAGTGCACTGCACCACACCAACCCATGGAGTCTCCCCTGGACACATTTAGCACATGAAGTCAGCATTGCTGAAACTAATCTTTGCAATTTGATGTCCACATCACAGCTGTAAAGAACCCACAACTAATCCAAGAGTATTCCAGTCTACTGCAATTTGTTGTTCGTAGACATCTGAAGTACTTGGCTCTACTCGTTTCGTTATTTCTTTAAAACCACAAAATGTTTTAGAGGTAAAATAACCCAAGTTTCACCTTTCAAGGCAAAAGCTTAAAAGTAGTCTTCAGTTTTAGAGGTAAATTTACAAAGAGGTAAAAAGAAATGCATTATTTATTTCTGACTCTAGACCAAACAGCATGCTGATTTAGGTTTCCTTTCAGATGTGTAATTTGAAAACTTAGTATGTTCTTGAATCATGAAAACTTATCAGGAAAAAAAAAAACCAGCTTTGCTCACAAACTCCTAACCTTTTTATTTTCCATTTCATCTAGTGTAAATTCCGCCCCCCCCAAGTTTTGACCAGTGCTGCCTTTTTATGCGTCGAAACAGGATGCATGTAGATACTATGAAGGCAGACTTTGCATGGGTTGTGCTTGCACTGTGCAGCACTTAATTGACCAGGTACCATCACAGTTGGTCTTGCAGAACTAATTATCAAAAGATATGAGTAGAGTTTTTCTTCGTTACCATCCATCTTCCCTCCCAGCTGCAAGCATACGACTCGGTGTGTCTGCAAACACGGTTAGGAACTCACCAACCAGAGCTTAGTGTTGCTCATGAGCTGTAAGGCAGGAGCTGCTCAAGTAGCTTTAGGTGTGTGGAAGTGGCAAAAAAACTTAAGTAAGTGCTTAAGACCCGGATTTAGGCACCTGAAGCGTTACAGAAGCTTTTAGTTGCGCAAAGATGTCAGCCTGTGTTCCCCAAGTCGATATCCATTCCTTCACTAATAAGAAGTGTGGGCTAGATTATGCACGCAGGCACACACACACACACGCATGCGTTTGCCTTTAGTTATAGCTGTGGGAAGCCTGTGATGATCATTAAAAAGTCAAAATTTATCTATTTATGACAGATAATATTGTAGCAAAAGTAATGACTGGTCAGAATTCAAACAGCAATAATAGAGAGAAGGGCAACAGCTGAGGACAAAAGAAACCAAATTCGAGCAAGTCTAATTAAACTTAACCTCAGTGGAATACAGTGTGCAGCTGGCATCTTGTTTTCCAAACATTAACTGTTGGGAGTTTTAAGCTTTTTTTTTTGTTATGAATTCTTTTAACCTAAAGAAAAGCCCCTGGGCAGTAGAAAATGCAGTATATAGCCATGTATACTGATAAAAGTTACCAAGGAGGATATTTGAATGTCTCATCTCCACTGCAACAAGATGGAGCTGGCTCCAGAATGCAGTCCATTGGAGCTGATGAGGCAAGGACAAGAACTGATCTAAAATTTTGTTTTAATTACGTTTCTTTGATTACTACATCAAACAAATGAAATGCTGATTTCGATGGGGAAAAAAAAAAAACAGTTAAATGAGGAACCACTTAGAAAAAGATTCAATAGATTAAATTAACAGGCAAGAACAGCCAATGCTGAAAACAGATTAAGTGATACTGTGGAAACTTAAAGATATTGATACTGTTTCTGGGGACGGGAGTTATTTTTCCTTCTTTTTATTTTTTTTATTAAACTCTTTACAGTACCTTTACTAGGAACAATTTAACGACCGAAGTTTTTCTTCCGAAATTCTCATTGTTTTGACACAATTTGGTGGCTTTGAAAACGTCCATGAATATCTCAAAGAAAAAAACTGTTAAATGAGGAATAAATATCCACAGACTTTTCTGTATGGTCTTCAGTAGTGCAGAACACGATAAGATGAAAAGTTAAGTCTGATGTGAGAAGTCTCTTCTCAACTAACTGAGATGAGTTAGCTTTTAGCTGCTGTTACTTTCTGAAAGGTTAAACACAACCAATGAGCAGTACATGCATTTTCTGGTGTAATCTGCAACATTGAAGAGATTAAATACACAGGACATGAGAAATGGGGAACTGAAGCTATACGCTAAGGCCCACTGACTTCTTTTATTTGTATTTCCGTGATTTAAAGACCAGCTCTAAACAAAAATATTATCATGAATAAATAAATGATTATTACAAGCAATTACAAATTATTATTCTGTAGCAAGATTGTTTTCTGAATCATATTTTGCCACAACATGTGAATTAAATGAAAGTAATTAATAAGTACAGTGTCATAATTAACTCACCCTGAGCCAAATGCTACCAGTGTATGTGCATAAATATGGAGTGATTATGGTATAGGTCAAAGAAGTGATTTAAAATTCAAAGCAGTCATATAAATGATTTTGGTTCTTCTGATTTAGCAGAGAAAAAAAATAATTCACCTTTATTTCATATTATTTTAAGACCACGATCTCGATCAAGGGACAGTGGTGATGAAAATGAACCAATTCAGGAACGATTCTTCCGGCCTCATTTTCTGCAGGCTCCTGGAGACCTGACTGTTCAAGAAGGAAAACTATGCAGAATGGACTGCAAGGCAAGTGTCATGCAAAGGATAGCAGCAACCTTTCTATAACCTTAGCTGACTCAAAAAACAAGTTAGTTTCTTTTTAAAACTATTTTACCTATTGGCAGTTTCAGCAACTGTCAAAGGTTAATCTCACTGCTTATGAGCAAGTTGACAAGAAAAGTTTGCTTCCCCTCTAGTGAAAGTGCTGCAGGCAAATCTTACAGCTCAGAGTAAACTGATTTTTAGAATTCAGCTATGCTGGGGTGTGGAGGGAAGCAGCACACACATTATGAAGACAGTGTGCTTCTCCATTTTAAGTCCTTTTACTACTTGAGTTTCGATCCTCTGTTAAAAGTTTCAAACAATATAATCTTGATTTATTACTTTGCCTAGCAGAACTCATTAAGGCTTGGATCACTTCTGTTTACTTTATGCTGATATATTTGGGAGAAGCTATTTGTTTTCCAGCAGTGCCCACAGCAAACGGCACAGCTTTCAGAGGTACAAGATTTGTTCACACAGACCAAGCATTAACTAGTGCAGGCGGTGCTGTCACCAGGTCACACCTAAGTGGAATCGAACGGAGAGTTCAATAATCAGTCAGCGAGCACCTTTTTGTCTGCAAGTTTCCCACAATCAGTTAATCTAGAATGGAGTATCTTCTTATTCCACACGAAGAGCAAACAATAAAAAAAGACAAAAGGTGTCACCCTGCCGTTTGTTTTGCAATGTATTATTATTTAGCTTCCTGCATATCTAAACACTGATCTTTTTCTCAGTCACGCCCGTAAGACAGGATGGAATTCAGGGAGTTGGCCAGAAAGCTAAGTAAATGACTGTAACTGTGTGTAATTCAGGACAGTAAATCTTGTGGTGCACCTGCAGTAGCAAACAAAACAAAACTCCTCTGAAGTAACAAGTCAGGGCTCCTCCAGTGTTTCATATGGCTAACACCATTTCCCACTATTCTGTTTACACTTAAGGTTAGTGGATTACCAACTCCAGATTTAAGCTGGCAACTTAACGGAAGACCAATTCGTCCTGATAGTTCCCACAAAATGTTGGTGCGTGAGAACGGTGTGCACTCCTTGATAATAGAACCAGTCACAGCCAGAGATGCTGGAATCTACACGTGTATTGCCAGCAATCGAGCTGGTGAAAATACCTTCAGCCTGGAGCTCATTGTTGCAGGTAACACCTCCATGCTAAGCTTCCACACTGAGCACTGTAAGGATAACATGAAAAAGGAAAATTTAAGTGCTGTCAAATGAGATGGTTGAGGGGTAGGGGGTAAGAAAGGGAAACGTGGCAGTAACGGAACTGTAGTACAGTTACAGGGGATATATACATGCTAAGTTGTGGCATGTTGACCAGCAAATAACCTCTGTGCACACAGGTAAGAGGGCAGCTGAGGCCACGAACCCGACTATTGACTTGAATGGGGGTTTTAATGGCAATTTGTGTAGACCCACATCTACCAATAGGTAGCCAGTGTGAGAGGACTTGTGTGTTTCACAGCATATTAGCCTAATGCTATTCCAGCCTTCTGGCAGAGCAGTTCCCTCTATTATTAAAAGCCCATCCTTTTATGGAGCATGAAGGAGCACTCTTTAACAAGCACTGTGCAGCCAGTTTATCTGGTCTTCATGCTCCACATTTCAATTCTTTCGGGGAGGCAAGGGGAAACCACTCAGTTCTATCAGCACTCACTTTTTCCCTGTTAAAACACTGATGTGACTGTTTTCTTCAGATGAACCAGGACTGGACTTTGTGGTTAATGAAGACAACACTTAAGTTTCCTCCCTCTTAGATTTTTGCATTACTGGTTTTTAGCATATTGCTGAAAGAAAGGCTACATTTTCATACACTAGTGTCAACATGACCTCAATCTTTATTTTCACAGCTAAGGAAGCACACAAAGCACCTGTGTTTATAGAGAAGCTACAAAACACAGGTGTGACTGAGGGATTCCCAGTGCGACTGGAGTGTCGAATCTCGGGGGAGCCGTCTCCACAGATATTTTGGAAGAAAGAGAACGAGTCACTCACATACAACACTGACCGAGTGAGGTTAGACAGACTTAGAATACTCTGCCCATGTGTAACTTCAATGACAATTTCTCCTGTAACACAACTGAAAACCTACAAGGTCTTAAGAATGTTTTGTGTGAATAGCAGCTCACAAATGTTAACCAGTTATTGTAATAATTTATCACATTTACTCAAACTTGCAGCCAGCCTGGTGGCTGAGCCAGAATTAAAATGTTAGTTCTCTTTTCCAGCCCTGGACTTAAACAACTATCTTTGCACTTTAAGCATGTGGAGAAGTAGTTTTTCTCTTCTAAAGCCAAGACTTACAGAAGTTTACTGGTGAAAACCCAGGCTCCTAAGTAAAGCTATCTGCTTCTCAGCAGAAACTTTGGTTCATAACTCTGCTGTGTAGTTAAGCAACTAAGTTGGTTTTTTTTAATATATATTCTATAAACTTGTCTTCAAAATTTGGTAACATTTTGTATGAATGTTTAAAAGCAAACTCATAATATATTGCAAGAAAAGGAACTCGTTACTGATACGACACTGGAATAAATTATTGCTGTCCTTCTAAATAACCAAAAGTATTTCAGTATCTTGATCCTCAAGCTTTTTTTATCCCTTCCCACAAAAGTCTGGGTAAGTTCTGGCATCCCTACTACTTAAATCAGATTTCCAGATGTCTTCATCTGTAACTGTGAAAGAGAAGTTACTTTATGCGTTTTTGCTGCTTAGTTTTCAACAAAAGATGTTCAACTGCCAAATTGTCAAGCATACTCAAGGTTTTATTTTCCACTTGCTAACTTCAGAGGAAGTTCCATGTTAATTAAAAGGGGACTATAATTAATCTGTAACTAGGATTGGGTCTGTTTACATTTAAAAATGGCCCACTTTGGTTTGCAGTTTAAATAGCAATTGTCTACTTTTCTTTCGTTTAGCATGCACCAGGATAACTACGGCTACATTTGCCTGCTTATTCAGGGAGCTACAAAGGAGGATGCTGGTTGGTATACTGTGTCAGCTAAGAACGAGGCTGGGATTGTGTCTTGCACAGCCAGGTTGGATGTTTATAGTAAGTGACTTCAATTTTCATGATCACATTAATCCCCCAAAAGCACCAGTTCTATAAATTTCAGTTTATTCACAGAATGGTTTACATTGGTCTCTCTCTCTTTTGTTTATAGTTTGTCCACATCAAGACAACAAATGCTCTGTCAAAGTATATTTCACCGTCTTTCCGATACCTAAAGCAAAACAAGCATGCACGCTTCCTGGTTTTGCTTAGCATATTAAATATAGCTAATTAACAACAGATAACGGCATGGTTACATTCTTTTTGTGGATCATCATGACTATTGCTCTGCTAGCACTTCCCTAACCTTTTGTATTCTTTTGTACCTTAGTCTGTAATACACCTGTGACAGCTACCAGAAGTGCAGTAGATGTTTTTATGGCTTTCTGCTTAATTACTCAGTTTGTTCCAAAGCAGCCCCTTACACAGTGAATGTTTTCTTAAACCAAAATCTCTTACCGGTCTTCTCATAACAAGAATTAAGGGGGGGTGGGAGGGGGGAAGGGGAGAGACTGGAATGATAAAGGATGGGGGAAGGGGAGAGACTGGAATGATAAAGGATGGTTTCTGGTGTGGTGTTGGGACTTGTGAATTAGAGACTTGGCTCAGCATTCTTCAGCATCCAAGGGGTGGCAATGGCAACCAGATGATTTCCTTTTACATGCAACAACCCCTGAACAGGCCTGTCACTGTCATATTAGCGCACAGAACCAAACCCCTTGCTGTCACCCTTCTCAGTGACACGAGGAGAAGTAGAAAGCAATGCCAAAAAGGCAAAGTAACAAACACAGACACTATTGTTTATACTTAACCACTTTCCAAGGCGAAACTAGATGCTGAGGGGAAAAAAAACAAACGGCAAGAAATGAAACAAACTTACCTTTGATATAATGGTTTTCTGCTGCTCAGAAATCAGTATCTCCTTCACAAGGGGCTGACTGTGCATCTGGTACGCTTTGCTGCACAGCTCAGGATGGCTAATGTTTTTCCTTTGCTTTTTAATCTACAGCTCAGTGGCAACAACCACCTCAGACAACCAAGCCAAAGAAGGTGCGGCCCTCAGCCAGCCGATATGCTGCACTTTGTGACCAAGGACTAGACATCAAAGCAGCTTTCCAGCCTGAGGCAAATCCAGTCCACCTGGCAATGCAGTCTGGCTTGGTAGAGAGCGATGATCTGTAGATCCGGCTGCCGCTTCCATCATTTTCTTTCAAAGCAGAAACACTGAAAGCCATTGCCTTGACCAATGACACTCCTATGTCACTTTATGCAAAGGCAGACACCTTCAAGTACAAAAGATAAACACCACACACAATAACCATATATTCCTTATTCATTATACCAAATTAGACGAATAGATAGATTATTAATAGAAATGTACACATTGCACAACAAATCACATTCACCAGTTCCTTACACCTAAGTTGCTTCAGCTCTTACAAATAACCCTTTTCATAAAGGCCAAAATACATCAGAGAGACAGGTTTTTCAGAAGAGGACACTATTTATCACTACGTGCCTTCGTAAGCAGGAAGTAGACGCTACACAACCTTCATGGTGCAAGATATTTATTTGAGGCCATTAGATCACAAAGCAAATTAGAATGTATGGTTATCTGTAGCTCTACAACGGCAATGCATCCTGATAGCTACAATGAACAAGTGCAATACTGTAAGAATAAACCAGGAAGGGACAAGGAAGAGAAATGTAAGCACATGCTCTATCTCTGCAAACTGCTTTCTAGTCTACAAAGAAAAAAAATCTTGCCTTAAATGCTGTTAGTATGGACAATTCTAGAAAGCAACAGCAACACCGTAACTTTAAATTCTTTTGTATTTTTTCTTTTTTTGCCATCTAGGAGGAGACTTACAAACACACAACAAAGACAGTTTAAGCCTAAGTAATTTAACCTCTTCAAGATAACGAAGAAAAAGAGCTGACATCTAAAAACAGTCTACTCCAGACTATAAATACTGGGAACTAGACAGGAAAAAAACGCCGACAGCATGAACCACTGCAGTAGGTTCCTGCAAGGGGTGGGATGGGGACAGGGCGAGAGGCTGAAACTCCCTATGGTTTTCCTGAAGACAGTCTGTAACCTTGTAATACTCCCATTCAAGAATCTGAAATTCCAAGGTGAGCTGAAAACGAGGGAGTGTATGTACGGGGTGTTCGACTGTTTAAAGCTTGTGTAATGTGTATGAGGATTTTAGAAATGATTAGTAAGTGAAAGATGGGTTGAGACTGCAACATGAGTTTAAATGACAAGTATACACCACAGGTGCTAAGCTTGCAGATCTGAGGACGTAGAAGATGGACAAAAATGACATCAAACTTGCGCCTTTTTTTTTTTTTTTTTCCTCTTAACATAGCATGTGTCTCTGGTAGATTTCATTTTTTTCTTCTCCCGACTGTAGACAAATGACAGCTCTTTCAATGGGTAGAGTCTGTGCACCGTGGGTGAAAAGCCTGAAGGCTGCTTTCAGGACGCAAGGCAAATCCACATCCAACTGCAGCCCCACCTAGTCAGATGTGACCAGGTAGTGTGAAATTAGAACCAAACGAATTTCAGATGAAGGGAGGGAGGGAGGGATGGAAGAATACTAGGCCTGACAAGAAAAATGAGTGTTTTATGGTACGAGCTACGATACTTTGCTATGAAAGGAAAACACTGTATTCCTTATATGAAGCACATATATGGTATCTTTCATTATTTATAATAAAAGTGTTGAAATGTTTTATCTCAGTTCAGTTATTCAGAAGTCCTGTACTTAGGGTTTTTTTTTTTAATTTTGTAATTGTGTACACCATATATTGCATTACTGCTATACATGTATTGCTTTGTAAGTACACAAAGTTTGTTTTGTTTTTTTAGTGACTAATAAACTTTAGCACATAAGGTAGTACTATTCTGGTGCAGGATATGACCAGTTATGGGGATCGTTAATCTAGATTAACGTCATAGCCCGTCATCTGGGAATAATCTGATTCTGTTCTAGAGAAAGTATGTCATATCATTTGCCAAATTTTCCTCAACTGTGACATGCTAATTTACTTTTTTGTTTAGCTTCACTAGCATTATTTTGCCACCTTTTATTTGTATTTATAAAAAAATGTATTATCATTACTTTGGTTTGTTGTGCTGATATAATGTGGGTTTAACATCAATAAATATTACACAAATAGAAAGTTTTCCTTCTGGTAAAGACTATTAACTGTTTCAGTAGAAGCATGCACGTGTAAGATTTAGAAATTTTAAATATTATGAATACAGATGAAGCAAGGGCTATATGCAGCATCTAAAAATGACTAGAATTTGTTTAGAATATTCTGCTTGTGACCTCGAATCTTGTTTAAACAAAGCAGAGGAACATGACCCATAAATTCTGAGAAACTTGCTGAATAAAAGTACTTGAAGATTATTTTAATAGGTTAGAAAATATGCAGGTCTATTTTGTGTGTCTGGTAACTGCAATATGACATCACTTACAACAGATTCGAAGTAAAGGGCATGGTTCAAGCACCATTAAATTTAAGAACAGCCTTCTAACAAGGCAATATCAAAATAAAATGTTAAGATTTATTTGTAAAAATCTTGATTATTAACTAGCTGCTTCTTTCCTTTATGTGCAAAGATACCAGGAAAGATGCAAGATAATAAATTTTTTCTTTCTGTTTACATTTCAAGCATTGATCACTACAAACAGAATTATCTCAGCAATTAACTGAGTACTGACATTAATGGTGATACTGTAACTGGAGTCAATAGAGTTCTGTCTGCTTACAGTGAATTTGTCTTTGGCTTAGAGGCTAAGAAACTGAGACTGCTCTTTGTGAGCTGGTTTAAGATGAGGTCATCATCACTTTTTGCCTCTGTATATATGTACAGACACACACTGAAGTAGTAAATCACATCTCTAAGCAGCAAAGTTGTTTTTATGAAAACATTCAGCTGTGCTGTTACTTAGTTACTGGGACTGTTTGGGTTTACAAATTCAGAGATACAAGCATGGCACAAGAAAACGACATACTTTTCAAGCCAAAACTCTGAAATTCTTGGAAGCATCAAAGTAACTTTCAGAAGTTTAATCTCCCTCCACAAAGTCCAAAGATAGAGAGTACGACCTGAAAGTGTACTTGTATCATTTTATAGGACTAAAAAAAGAAATCCTAACGTTTTGCAAGACTCCAAATTATTCAGGAAGCTGCTCAGTCCGAGCCTATTCAAACCAATCGAAGAATCAATGGAGCTACGTTCCGGATGATGACAGAAACCTCTGCCAAGAGCACCACCTGTGAGGTGCAAAATTCCACACGCATGCATGTTTTTTTCAGCTGGTGGTGCACCTTAACACATAATGGCTTTGTCCTGCAACTTCACGATAACAGCAACAATTAGGTAACGTATACAGGTTTTTCCGTCACAGCCAACTGGGGGTTGGGGATCAAAACCAAACTATAGTCCAATTTGAACCGCTATCTTATGAATTATAGTTACCTTCTATATTACCACTGTCAAAGACCATTTTAATTCACTTAGGTTGTATGCTAATAAATGCTTTGATTCCCCACATATGGATAACTACATCCTTATCTCTGCAAGCAGCCCACACGGATTTAATACGCGAGTACTTCCTGAGATCATACCATCCTCCGTGATGCTGGGGGGATCAGCTGCACACTCCGGCTGTACGACCCAGCTGCCAAACCCACACTGTACAATACAAATGGATTCATGCATGGACTGGAGATGCCGCCTCAGATTATGCATGTTGACAGCAGAGCTGATTCACTGCCTCACCATTCAGCTGTACATGCAAGGGGCAGAATTTGCTGACCTCACTTAGCTTGTTCTCCTGGACTGGCTAACTGAAAAAGCCCTCTGCCTGCACAGTTTTCTGTTTGAACAAAACCATGAGCACGAAAGCCACATCGGGCAGATGAAAACACAGCTCCTGCCCCAATAAATTTACAATTATTACAGACAGCATACAGTATTCTTTAACGTGTCTTAAAGCTTGTGACTTCAATTCAGAATTAAGCCATGATTTGCATCCTTTTACAAAAGTGATTAGCTCATAAAATAATCTCACACTGCACTGAATCTCTAATAAAAATGTCAGTGTTTGGAACATAACACCCAACTCACGCTTGGAGTAAGGAAGCCAGGCTACAACAGCACCTGCGCAGCAATGACTTCAGCAGCTGTACAGAGGAGGAAGTGAAATGAACATCAGTTCAACACTACCGGGAAGGAGAAATTTTTGGCTTTACAGGACAACGGCAGTGCAACAGGTAAACCCTGGGGAAGGGCCAAGTCAGTCTTGCAACTGCTGTCACTTTCTAGTTCTGTAGTAGCATAAACAGTCCAGAAACAGCTGCAGAACAGAAAGGAGAAAAAAATAACAGCACATGGCCACTACGCAGAATGATTACGTCATTTACAGCAGGAGCTCTACAAATCTCATCAGACTGAATGGATTAGTTCATGGGTTTCTTTTGCCTGAAATTGTTCTGTTAAACACACAACTAAACATCTTGTCAAACTCTTTTTGGCTGACTCTTGGCCCAGACATCACAGAGTATTTCTACAAAGGAAAAGGAGAGCACAAAAATACACTGCCAAGGACAGGCGCTTTCCAAGCTACTGCAAACGGTGTTGAAAATACCTAGTAAGATAAGACTTCCCATACAACAGGCAACACACATCTACTCTATTGCAGATTAAAAAATAGTGGATTCTGGAGCTAGCTTTTCCCTGCAGTGTTTGTCTGAGCAGCTGCTGGAGTCATTTGTAGGAAAGGGCCCGTCTAAGAGAAAACCTGTTTTACCACACTATTCTAAAGTATAATGCAGAATTCTGGTTCTTATTAACATACTAACTCACTTCCTCCTTAGAATACTTCAGAATGAGATTCACTGAACACTTTTGTAATGTACTTTTAATCTGCAATAGAAGTTTTACCTTTCTTAAATTCCATATTAACTTCAGCTGTACAGTCTGTGATCATTTAATAATTCACAGAATCATAGAATGGTTTAGGTCAGAAGGGTCCTTAAAGATCATCTAGTTCCAACCGCCCTGCCATGGGCAGAGACACCCTCCACTACACCAGGTTGCTCAAAGCCTCATCTAACCTGGCCTGGAACAATTCCAGGGATGAGGCATCCACAGCTTCTCTGAGCAACCTGTTCCAGTGCTTCACCACCCTCAGAGGGAAGAATTTCTTCCTTATATCTAATCTAAATCTCCCCTCTTTCAGTTTAAAGCCATTGCCCCTTGTCCTATCACTACATGCCCTTGTCAAAAGTCCCTCTCCAATATTCGTTATTAACTCAGTAGACATACCTACAGCTAAAAGAAGCCTTCAGCTCATGGTCTGAAACTGAATGTAATGTGTGGGTGAAAATAAAATGTAATCTGGAGCTTCAGCAGAATTCTTAAAGAGCCAATGTTCTTCAAAGGCTTTTCTCCACCACAACATTTGCTCTATCTTTTCAAACACTGATTGATTACCTAAATTAAGTGGGTGTACGTGGTCTTGGAAAGTTCAGTTTTCATTAGCTTTACTTAAATGAGCTACACTACACTTAACAAAAAAAAGAAAGTCACATAATTGTAGCAGGCAATACACATTTCAGAATACATTTCACACTATGCAGCACATCAAGGCAGGAAAATTTGTTAACAACAATAGATGATCATTGCAATGTATGTTTTAACTGTAGATTATAAAGTAATCAAGAGATTTTGAAAGCTGGGATTTTGAAAGCTTTGGATAGAAAGCACTTTCCATCCAAATTTCACTGAACTTAATACTGAAATACTGGATATATGGATTTGGATTTTACAAAACTGGTAACAGCAATGCCAGCTATCACTTTTGTATCTACAAAGGCAACTCCACTCCCCCAAAACTACACGGATCTACTAACCAAATACGACCGCTATAATAATGCCTTAGGACACACTGCCCTCAGGAGGCCAAAACGAAATCTCTTCCTGGGATATCACACACGAACACGGCATACTAAATGTATCTGTTACCATGACAGAAAGTCTGCAAAAGCTGTTCCTCGTGCCAGCTCCTACGTACAGCTGCAATGTTAAAAAAAAACCCTCACTGATATTTTGTGTGTCCTGCTAGAAACTTCTGCTGATGACAATCAGTTGCAATACGTGCCTCAAAAGCAGAAGGCTAACATAGTGAGCAAGTTCTAAGTTACAAACACATTTCTTAAGAGATAAACAGGAGACGGCTGCAATAGTACTTAACAAAAGATTGTAGGAGAGTTACAAGCAATATAGCAGATGAAGTAACACCAGATGAATAAAAAGCACATGCTCTCACTTCTACTAGGAATGGAATCACAGAAACTTTGTATGACTAGTGAAAGAGTGGACTGAAGTTTTCAAAATTCAATTGAGAAATCATGGTCAGTCAGTCCACAGTCCTACTCAAGAACACTCACATGCAAAAAAAAAACCCCAAAATGTTTATATATAGCTTGGCATAAATGCTAGCAGCACAAGATGTAAAACCTGAATGTCTGGTTTTAATCAAGGACAGTGACATAACAGGCATACCAGAAATATGATGGAAGCAAGACAAGTAAGCAAGATATTGATAGAAAACATACAGGAAAGTCATTGAACCAGATACCAATACAGTAACTTACCAAAACAAAAATAAATTGTATAAGGTAAACTCTATTGTTAGCCAATATTATTAGCAATACAGCTACCACGATGGCAGTAGCTGTGACATCCAAGGACCGTAAGGCCAGCAATGTAACCGTAAGGAAACACAGCAATTATCAGCAGGTTGGATAAAGGTCATGATCACTTTTTTTTTAATGTCTTTTTTTCATGCAGCCAGTCAGAGCCACCCAACTCTGGCTGCAGTCCCTGGGAGTATACAAGACCTGAGTCAAAACGCAATTTTCAAAGACTGGCTTTGCAATGGTTACTTTCATTTCTGTGAGAATATTGATCAAGTTTATCGATAAAGACAACAGTCTGCTACTGCAGACTTCCATAAAAAAGGAATAACATAAAATAAGGAAATATGCTAAAATGAAACAAAAAAGACAAGTCAAAAAATTAAGATGCGATGCTTGATGACAACACTAAGATTGCATGCACTGAATGTCAGTATGACGACTTTAAATACACATGACAAACTTTTCTTGTGGGGAAGGGGAAGCTGACATGGATGAAAAGCTACTAGAATTTAAGTCAACCTTTGTAAAACCAGCAGTCTAGCTGTAGCAATCAAACAGAATCTGTCACTGACTGTAAAATTTACAGAGGGATGAGAGTGTAGAGGAACAATTTACAAAAGTGCATACAAACTTAACATCACCTTAGGAACAGGCATCATGCCTGAATAAGAGAAGTAGATGATCAAAACAAAAAGCCAAGTGCTCAGGGGAGGCAAGGCCACAGAGAAAAGAAATCCTCAAACTCTGAACAAAATCCTAAATCAGCTTTCGGTACCATGCAGGAACTTGAGTGGAACCTCTACAGGCCACTTACTGAAGGTTCTACCCCTCAGAGCAAAACATCAGAAGAGGTTACAGAGGAAAGAGAAAACCAGGGCTGGGGGCTCACTCCCGAACTCCAAAGGAAATGAAGTAACTGCAGTGTGAAAGGTTAAAACTACCTCATTATTAAGTAACTGGAAGCTGGCAAAGTGACAGCAAGCTTTTTGGGGTTTTGTGAGTGGAAAGATCACTTGTTTTTTAAGAAGAGATACCAGAGGGATCCAGGGAACTACAGACTAATTATATTTTTCTGCACATAGCAAACTACCAGAAATTGTTATAAAGCCATGAAAACAACCGGATAAACATAATGAGGGAAGTCAGTGTTGCTTTTTCAAAGGAAAGCTATGTTTGAAAAACATTTTGGAGTTCTTCTGAAGACTAAAAAGAGATGAAAGTAAGGAGATCTAATATAGCATGCTTGAAATTCTAAAAGGCATTTGACACATTCCCTTGCCAAAAACCATTAAAGATGCTGTGCTGCCAAGAGAAGTTGTCATATCAGTAAACTGTTTAAAGATAGAAGAGAAAGGGTATGAATCAGCAGTCATTCTTTCCTAAGGACATGGATCACCAACAGGTCACCACAGGCACCTGTGCTGTGGCCAGCAAAGCACAACCTATTCGTACGGGTTCCGAGGCAGCAATTTCTGAAGCCCACAGCATATTCCAGTAACACTAAGTTACTCAAAGTAATAAAGGGATAAAGGAACTAAACAAAAAATTGCAGAACCATTTCACTGAGGAAACAGATGTTAAAACCAGCAGACAAAATTCACTGTAGATAAATGAGAACAATTCACACTGAGGAAAATACAAAAAATCAGTCCTAAATACATATATAGGGAACTGGGCTCCAAGTTGACCATTAACTATTCAGGACTGAGTTACTGCTCTTATATAGCTTCTGAAAACGTAAGTATAAAGGTTAGGAAAAGGCAAAACAATTAGGCATTATTTTTGGAAGCAATATAAAACAAAACACAGAACATCCTTTTTTTTTTTTTTTTTAGATGAATCCACAGTGAATACTGTGAGCGGTTCCACCTGCTCCTCCCTCCTTGAGAGGGAAAACTGGAGAAGTAAAGGACAACAAAGATGACTTAAGGTACAAGAGAGCTTTCCAGTAACGAGCAATTAAAAGAAATATGATTCTTCAGTTTGAAACAGAAACAACTGAGGCAGGCAGCACACCACAAACGTCTACAAATTCAAGAGCAACACAGGGAGAGCACAAGAGGCTTGTTCCAATGTCTCATCAAACGTAAGAACCCACAGGCCTCAACCAGAGCTATCAAATGGCAGATTCAAACGTATCAATCACAGATTGTTGGAGGTACAAGAGTCTTCTAAGAAGACATCATCACACTTGATCCGTTACCTACCCTATACATTCACTACTTCCACTGTCTGAGACATCACACCAGGCCATAGAACCCGAGTCTGACAGATATTACTCCTTAGAGTAGATGTACACGTTAAATGCTGAAATGGATTACTGTTTTAAAGTAGCTTTCAGTTCTAATTTACCACTTTGAAGAAAAGGGAAAAAAAGGTCTTTTAGAAATACGATTCTAAGGCTACCAACACTTGAGTCTGGTCCTATAGCAACAGCAGTAACAAAAATATAGTACGCATTGCAACATTTTTTAAAAATTAGTTAGGCACATGCTGAGATTCTTCTGAGGGTGTTATTCCATGTTTTAAACACAAGTATAAACTAAAAATGCCATTGCTAATAACTTATTTAACTGTTTTCTTACCTAACAATCAAGGGATAATACTAATTAGGATCTGAACTCACTAAGAGGAAATTATTTTTAGTCTCTTTAAGTTTGGCTTCTTGTCAAGATATGTCACCCAGGCTTTGCCTGTAAAATACTACGGGCAGGTATGGGCAGCAGCCAAGTCACTGACATATTACTACTTGACCAGTAGAAATGGGAGTACCAGCTGTCCTCCCTCAACTTCGGTGCCCTTGGAAAAAACTCATCTTTGCTGGCCAATTCCTCCTATCAAAGAGAAATATAATTAGCAATTATATTTTTGGTACAAAAAGACACATATTACACACAACTTTTCACAGCATAACACCACCTCCCTACACAGAAGCAACTGTAAGATCAGGACTCCTGAGAGGACTACCTTTAGTGGTATTTTACATTCCAAAACAAGTGACACAATCAGCTGTAAAATCCCCTGAATATACAACCATTCCTTGTATTATTTCTCAACACATACCTGTGAGAAGCTTGAACATGAATTGTTTTCTGGCACAAAGACAAAATTTCTCAGCTGCAGAAATGAAGAAAATCTCAGACTTTAAAGACTCAAAGTTATCATCAGTGAGATCTCTTCCTCCTGTACTTCAGTTTGTGCTGAGACGTGAAGCAATTTCAAAAGCTGAATCAACATCTGGATCATGATGCAATGCATGAAGGAGCTAAGAAGTGAAGGTCCTAAACAACATTCGTAGTTTTCTTCAGAGATGATAAAACCATCAATTACTGAAAATTACTTGATCTCAATAGAAAAGCCTGAGGTCAATTTTTTGGTAATATTGCAGCAGGAGAGGAACACTCGAGATCATTTACAGCTGAATAATTACTCTACTTCAAAAGCTGCTTTGAATAAAATAAACAGCTGTTTTATTGACTATACAGACATATTAAAGAGCATCAAAATAACAGTTGAACTGAGTGTTCAAGAAGATCTAGAGGAATACACCTTGACTTCACACTCTGGAAGTGATACGTGTTTTCTGAACATCCACTGAGTCAGTGAAAAGTCTTTTATGCAGCAAGGTCTGCAACTGCACTGCTCACCTGTGATGTGGCAGCTCAAACTCAGGAGACTACAGGATTAGCAACTCCAGTGACCGATCGACGGTCCTTCAGTGCGTACAGTCAAGTGCTACTGGATTACATGAGTGCTGTACATACATTCAAGAGTGGAACTGAGAAGGTTCTGTCTTTATGAAAACACATTGCATATAATTAAATCTCCTAAAGGCAATTCAGTTATGCTGAAGATCTAGAAGCTCCTAGCTTTGTAGTGTTAGCTACAAACAAACAAAAACCAAAGGCAACTCCTTCCCACTTTGTAGAGACTAACTGATAAGAATAAAAAACTACGCAGTTCACAATCTTTGCCCTACATGAAAAACTTGATGCGATCACACCTGCCAACCAATAAACATGTCTCTGCACTTTATTAACCTTTGTGTAACATAATTCGAATAAAATCTCCACTCTATGTCAAATTAGAAAACATGACTTTATAAAAATATAGTGCTTTAAAAATTTATCAGCATGTTATTTAAAACTATCACCATGCCAAAAGGAGATCTTTTTCAAATTGTTACATATACAGGCTTCATAATACCAAATGGACTCTTGCAGGTAGCTAAACATACACGCTGGACTTCACTGCTGAATTTCTCCTCTGACTAAATAATATCAAGTCAATTATATACATCACTCTTCAACTGATTTTCTCCCCCCCCCCTTTAATTAGTATATATTTATATAGTAGTATCATGACATTGAAGTAGGTACTTATTCAAGGTAGTATTTAAGTCAGAAGCTGCAAGCCTCCATCTACAACTAGAGTACTCCCTGTAACATAAGGGGACTCCAGAAGAAAGACAACAGCTTGTGCAACTTCATGAGGCTCTCCAAATCTTCCAAGGAGAATTGCTTTCTTCAACTGATCTTCTTCCAAATGAGCAGTCATCTCTGTGTGAATAAAGCCTAAGAGAGGAGAGAAATGTGAAGAGTTTCCTAACCTTCAACTAAATTTCTCTAGCAGATTTTCCCTGGAATCCTCCAAAGAGAAATCTACTACCAGGATTCAGCACCAGCTACTGTTCTTCAAAATCTCACAAGTCAGTCCACATCATTTTATAGCGGAGATCAATTTTTCACCCAACCAATAAAATGTCTTCTCATTTTGGAAGCACTGATGTAATAATTAAAATGCAGAGATCTATAAAAGTCCGTAAAAAAAAAAAAAGGTAACTAAAATTGGGTCCCAAAACTATATTTAGTATCACTTTTATGAAAGACAAAATACAGCCATTTCATCAAAACATTCTCAATTTAAAAAAGACTATGAAACCTCTGGCAAGAAAACCCTACAGCTTGTAAGTGTTTCCATTATATTTTAGAACTTATGACAGCACTTGCATAATTTCTATTACAGCACTCATTTGAAGAATATTTCTTGATGTTTTTGAAGGTCATTTCTTTGCAATTCTCAGTTTTCTGAGACTCAGTTTTCCCACTGCTGCACTCCACATAAGCTGCAGCTTCATAAAGAGCTGATCTTATCCGCTCTCTTGCTGCCACCAAGAAGGGAAAGTCCTGCCAAGTTCACAAGCTGACCTGGTTCACGCAGAGGTCTGAAAGGCATTAGAGGCAGCACAAGGTGAGCAGCAAAGTACACAGCTACGTGTGGAAAAAGTCCGAAAAGACAGAAGGATTTTCCCTAAGGGTTGTTGTTTGCTTGAACTAGATTTTCTTGTGAAGTCACAGCCTTGTGCTCACAGAACTTTCTTTCCAGACTCTCTCCTTTTACTGCAGGGACAGACAGGGATGCTTTCATGCCACCTTCTCATGGTCTTTCACGTTTCTCTAATAACAAATAAGCATTCTCTAGCAGGAGATGAGGGTAGCTGTCTGTATACGATTGGTTCTAATCCCTCCATCTGCAAGGACAGCAGGTTTTGAAGGAGGAACAAAGAAAAAAATACATTTATTATGTGATAATAGATAGAGGAACAGGTAGACAGAATCTTCCCAATTTCTCAGTGTTCCCTTAAAAAGACTGAAGGTTTTGTAAAAGAAAGTATTACCCTTTAAACTGAAAAAAAAAAAAAAAGATTAAAAACATTTATTTACAAAAGTTGAAGAAAATAATAGCAATTTGTTTTAAGTTACTTTCAGAGCACAGTAAATATCCAGCAGATCTGATGATCAGCATTACAACAGTAGGAACTTCCCAAAAACTAACCTGGAGCAACCACATTGACTCGAATTTGCTTTTTTGCTACTTCTTTAGCAAGGGAGCGTGAAAATCCAACTAATCCTGCTTTGGTAGCACTGTATACACTTTGACCAGAGTTGCCTTTAAGTCCTACAACACTTCCTAAAATAAAGAAGCAGAAAAGAGAAGAAAAGATTAAATGACTTATTTGAAACCTTGCACTAGCTTTATCAGTTTAGCTTTAAATTTGAAATGGAAAACGGAAATGGAAATGACAAGAAAAGGATTTAGAAGTATATCACTAAATGTATTTTATAGCCTACTGCTGGGATAAGCAAATTCCTCAATTATCTGTGAGTTTTGTGGAATCCATCTATGCCAACCAACGGGCACCGGGAGAGTAAAATAAAGAGCTTTCTAAAAAACATTCTTGCACAGAAAAAAACTGACAACTGTACCTATTGGATTCTTAGTTAATAACTAGCAGCTGGTAGATTTAGCTACCGAAAGAGCTGATAAAGAATGGTAAAACTCTTTTTCCAAAGAAATAAAAACTCTGATGTGTTTATTACTGAAACAAGATGGGTTTACATTTAGAAGTTGCTGAAATTACACAAAAGAACAAGCATTCATAAAGAAATGCTAAATATAGAATGTCTAAGTACAAAGAAAATAGTCAATTGCAACAAGTAACATTTTACGCTTGCTAAACCTTTCCAGAAAACTACTACATTGAGTTCCACTGGATTAGATGAGAAACTTACCTATATTGACAATAGCACCTCCCTGTTGTTGAATCATGCTTTTTACAGCAGCTTTGCATGTCAACATTGTTCCCAAAAGGTTAGTGTGAATCTGGGCTATCATATCTTCAGTTTTGGTTCTCAGTAACAAACTATCCCTGACAAATAGACCAAAAAAAACAAAAGAACTGACTCAACAACTCCAATAATCACATTTACTCATAATGAAACATTAGCAAGACTGATTAATGGAATATTAATGGGCATTTACATGGCCTTATACATTCTAGCATTCAAAATAATGACATCACAAGGATGACGCATAGCAGGAAAAAAGTTAGCTATGCTTCTGGCAAGAAAGCCTCCTTTGCAGAGAGGTATCAAACGCTGTTTTGGACCATTTCAGGAGAAAGAAGTCAAAGAAAGAGGAGTAGAAGGGGAACGCAAACTCAGAATGTAGAAACTAATGTGAATATTATATCGTCTGTTAGAATTTTAACCAGGAACGAAATATTGGTGAGTGCTGAATGAATGCTGTTTGCAGACGCACTCATTAACAACACTATTCCTAAACGCAAAGGCCTTCAGCACCTTACAATAAGATGCTGTCATCTAGAAATACGTACAATCTTGTAACAAATAACTAACCTGTTGATCCCAGCTGCATTAACCAAGTAGTTAATAGGACCTAAATTCCTCTGCATCTCCTCAAAAGTTTTTTGGACTTCTTGTTCGCTGGATACATCACAGCTAAGGGCCAGATGTCCTGCTATATTGAAATGAAGTCACATCATTAATAATAGCAAGATGGTATAACATTCATAAACCTTCTTCAGAATTTATTAACTCAATTGCAAAAACAGATGAACTAGTTATAACTTGAGGAACCTATTTAACCTCCACAGAATCAAATAAGGACAATTTTCAAGTATTGTATTGATTAGTTATGTGACAATTTCCTGTTTTATATTTTTGGCCTTTTGAAATCAGAAGTTCAGCATGAGCAGACTCGTCTCAGTTCTGGCTTCATCAGGAGCCAAGGATGACTCAATTCATACCACCTCCCTGTTGTGACCTTGAACGATTTCTTTCATCTTACAATCCATATCTTGTGGATAGAATAGGTAACACACTTAACTTTCCCAAAGAATACTGTAAAAACAAAACTGTACTGATAGAGCTTTTCTTTCAGATTTCTTGGCCTCTACTTTCATTTTCATATAGTTAAGCAATGAGGTTGATTTAATGACTTACCACTTTTACAAGTTACCTAAGCATTGGACGGTGAAGAAATAATTGCAAAGCAGCCTACGTACCACCAAGATTACGTGCAGTGGTTTGGGCTACTTCCAGATTTCTCGCAATGATCGCCAGGCGGCAGCCTTTCTGTGCCAGTAATTCTGCAACAGCTTTTCCTATTCCTCGGGATCCTCCAAAAATGGCGCAAACCTTGCCCATCTTCGAAAAAAGTTCACAAACTGCACAAAACCCATGAATTTCAGGTCCAATATAGCAAGTAAATAACCACCGTTCTTGTCAATATCACAGCCCTTACTAGTCTGTAGCATTTTGTAATATCGGATCATAGAATTAGTGACTTGCTGATTTTTTATTCACCAAAAACTAAATACTTCAACTAAATTAGACACTACTTTTACATCTGCAAATTATTTCTTAATGATTTCTGAACTAGTAAAGAAATTATGCATATAACCTATCATTTCAACATTAGTGTTATGATAACTCCTATTCAGTTGATAAAATACGTGATTTATATATCTAAAGGCCATAATGTATCATTCAGCTGTTTATTGAAAGCCAACATAGTAATTGCAGTTATATTGTTCTTGCAAGCACTGTTCTTGTACTAAAGTCACTCAGCCTCAAGATCTCACTCCATCCAAAGTATCTGTGTTGGACCTCCACATTGCAAACATTACTGGGCATGATTTGATACTAGTGTAGTTGAGAGTGTCCCTGTCCATGGCAGGGGGGTTGGAACTAGATGATCTTTGAGGTCCCTTCCAACCCAAACAATTATATGATTCTACGATCTATTTTATTTACACTAGTTCAATGCTAAGTTACACTACATAAGACTACGTTCTACCACTAGCCTTAGGTTTTTTTTGTTTCTACGTTTGAAGAAAAAAAAAGGCTTTTTGAAATCTGAAATGATTCTGATCTAGCTTAGTTTAGATGTCTAGGAGGGAGTGTAAGAAGAAAGTACTCCTGTAGAATGATCTTTTATTCTGCAACCTCTAGAAACCAGTCAGCTGTTTTGGGATTTCCTGAGGAGCCAGAGGCAGAATCCAAGCAATAGTAATGAACATCTTTTCCATATATTTGAACAAATTCTTTTTGAGTCCAATTATACTTTGTTTCCATAACATCCTGAGGCAAGGAGTTTCACTATTTGTGGAAAAGTGCTTCCTTTTGTTCTTAACTTGCCTTCTGATTAGATAATACTATGCATTTCTCCTCCTATCTTCCTCTTACTGTTCATAACATCAGCGCCTACTCTTCTGTATTTTACCCTCCCCCTAGATCCTCTTTCAGGTCTATTTAGTTACTCTTATACGTATGGAAGCCATTCTACATCTCACTAAAGACCGTCCAAGCTCTTAATCCTGTCACCCTACCCTTTGCCTCACTTAGGTCTATTATACCCTTTTTGATGTGTGATAACCAGAAGAGCACACAGTGTTAAGCGCACAAGGACACCATCAATTCGTACAATGGCATAATGATTTTGGTGTTCTGTGACAGAGCCTGAAAGATCAGACGGTTCTTTTCTGTAATAAAGTGAGCACATGTGCTTGAAATCAACCCACGTGTCTGCTTCCACTGGCAAGTTGCAATCGGCTTCCTAGGAGCACGAAGAGGATTAAATACATCGCAGGCGGCGGCCTTCTCAACAGAACACATACAAAAATATGTCCTGCATGAAGACAATTCCTGAGTGATAAAAATAGGCACCACCACCAGAAAGACTAGTTTTTTGGGTAGCCTTCATTAGGTAGCTACACTGCAAGAGATGAATCAAGAGGTCTTGCACCCCAGTTAACCACCGACTAAAGGCATAACCAACCAACTCATGTTTTATTGACAATTTTTTTTGGTTAGAAACAAAGTCTCATTCTGCCTTCTCCATCATGATCTCTTCTTTTACAGAATTACCACAATGACTCTTGGAAGTTCTTGCCTACTTGTTGCAGCACTGTTGTACTAGGATTTCCTCCTTCATGTTTTGTTCTTATAAGCACTGAGCATTTCTTGTATTTTTATTTGAAACGTGGAATAATATAGAGTAGAAGGGATCTCTGGAAGTCGTCTTGTCTAACTCCTCTATGCCTAAGCAACATCCAGTGAACCATCTTACACTGTTTATAAATGCTGCCAGACCTGTATGTGTTTTCCAAGTAATTCTGAACATGCCTAGCTACCCAGGATCCAAAAAGCTGCCTGTGGGGAGAGAACTTCTTCAAAACGTATCATTCTACCCTTCCTGGTCTCTTTCAGAAGGGAAGAAATCTTAGTGATTGAACTGTTCTCAGAAAGAATAGTGGAAGTCCCTTGTGCCTTAACCAGGTATTACAGGGGGAGCATAAGGCCCACTTCCAACGCAGCAACATACAATTTGTGTTTTGGCACAAAAAAGCCATACAGATTCTTTGGAGTTGTGACCTGGGAGAAAAAAAACCAACCTGCAGTAAGAACAAAACTCCTGTATTCTCTGGTGAAATAAAGGTAGGGAAAAACAAGCAACTTTTGAGCAACAGGCTCTTCCAGGCCGCCGCACAGCGCACACTCGCGCGCCTGCACCACCTTTGTCCTCCACGGCCCTTCTCTGCTGTCAGAACGAACCACTTAACCCG